ATGCTTTCCCCAAAAGGCCTCGGAGGCATCAACGGAGGATTCCCTTGCTAGCATATAATGAAATGAAAACCCGAAAGAAATTCCGTGTAATATCCCATCATCCTAAAACGAGACGCCTGAAGCCTCGGCGTGCTGTGAATACCTGTGATCTCCATACAAGTTTGTTTGTGTAGGTGTGCTTTACCCAGTATTAGTGGCGCAGTCCCACTGACCTAATAGCGCGTGCGGAGTACAGCCAATCCGTGGAACATCGAAAAATAGCACAGAGTAGTCAACGCCATGGAGTATTCGTAGTGGTCCTTCCCCCGGGGAAACCACGTTCTCGAGCTCATAATTCGTCACATCGTTCATCTTCGGAGCAGTGTCCGCGATATGATACTGCTTGTGCACCTGTATGGTCGGAAAATCACCTTGCATACGGCCTGTTCATCGAGGCGATTTCTCGAGTGATATCGGCCCACTCAAGCTCCCTCTTCAACGCCCCAGGACCTCCCCTTCTGACTTGTAAGATCTCTTCCCATTTCAGAAGCTCGTATGCAAATCGAAGGTGAGGTTGGATAATGACGTTCAGTCTACGAGCTCGCACGTAGCAGTAGGCTCGAGGGAAAGAGTAATTGAGTGACTTCATCACCTCGGCAATGCAAATAGTGGCACTGCGCGATACGCCAACGCGGCAATGCACGAGTGTCGCCGTGCCATTGCGTCGACCACGTTCTGGTTCACAGTCAGATCAGGTTTGTAGCGAGAGGAGGGCATGCGTCGAACGGGGTGGATTTACCAATAAAGTCCAAACACCTTTCAAACTGATCCATCAAGGGATCAATACCATTGTCCTGGACGCCCTGGACGAGGCAAACGTTATCGGTCCCCCACTGCTCGAGTTCTCCATCCCTCCACATAGACATCTCTCCGACACTGAGGATTTGGCCGATGCCTAGGGACCTCAGTAACTCGGGATTGTTGGCATGTCCAAGGTTGCCGAGGTACATGTAATCCAGTACGCGGCTGGGAAACGAGCCGTCCATGCTGTGCATCCAAGTAGGATCTTTGATCAAAGCCGTGATGCTAGAGAGTCCCTTATCTGCATGGACAGGTGATTCATGTAGTAGTCGTGGTTCAATGCACGTCAGCAGAGCTACATCAGTAGGGTAGGCGAAGAAATTGCGCTTCTTTTCCGTGTGTAGATGCAGCCAGGAATCAGCAACTCCGCGTCCCGTGCTGTAGCTCAGATACGCGATGCTTAACATGGTGGACTCTGTATAACCGTCCGCGCAGTGGATCAGTATCTTTCTCGGCCTTGCCTGGATATCACCATTCTCGTTTTCGGGGGACGGCTCGTCGGTCGGGAACGTGCCATGGGCCAAATGATAAATCCATTTGCATGTTTCCAGGATGCCGTCGGCCTCGACTTGGGACCATGTCGGCGGAAGAATACTGCCGGATGAGGGGAAGTCAATATATGGCTGCCGGTTGTCCTTTTCTTTCCCTCGAGCAATGCTCTCCAGGGCCGCCGGGTTAATGCGTCCCACGTCACTGCATTCGATGAGGACGTCGTACTCGGCTTCATCCTCGGTGGCGGGATCAGGCGTAGAGCCTACCCAAACATTATGGGAAATTTCGGAAGCCAGAGTCATTGCGTACATTTCCTTCCTCTCCTGGTGAAAGAAGTCGAGAACGTTACCGGTCAGTTGCCCGGTGGAGTCGATGGCAACAACCTCGGAATGGTTTGCCTCAAAGGTTTCAAAGGGGCCTACACAGATGAATGTGTTATACACAGGCAAAGGTTGGCCTTGGGCCTCGTGCTTGTCACGCCAGCGGCGCTGGGCCGTAGCGACATCCCACGCCACTTTCCGTACGATGACGGCATCTTCGCCATAGACAACAACATCGGAAACGCCGGCTATCTTGGCAGCCTGTATCTGAAAGTTCCGAACGCAAAATCCGTCTTTTGGATCGATGTCGAGGAGCCCAGGTGTTGATTGTGTGTCAAGAAACTCTTGAGGAGCGATGGAACCCTTCAATCGAGAAACCGAAAGGTCGCCGTCCGCTTTGACGAGAACCAATCCTCTAATGCAAGTAGGGGTTCTTCTTAGCATTCGACGGCGAGCGATGAAGAAAGCTTGCTGAATATGGTTGTGTGGATGGAGGCCGTGGAACCAGGGGAAAACTCGAGAGGTATCTGGCAAAGGTTGTCGAGAGGCGAAATCAATTGCTGCAGCCAGATCCTGAGGATGCAATTGATACAGCTTCAGAGGACCTGACTCAATACAAGCGAAGTCGTTGGGCGGAAAGAGCCATGAGGCCGGCTGAACGTCTTCGTCGTCAGGATCATTTGGTGGTGATGGTGGTGGGGTACTAAGGTCTCCGCTTGGTGCGGGGCCTGGAGGACAGACTGGGATGTGCTTGTTTGGTATCGATGCCTGCTGCTGCACGCTGATGGTGTCGAGGGATATCGCTGAGATGGGGCTGATGGCGGACGACGGTCGATGGGGAGGCAGTGGTCGGGAGAGGGCAATGGTGGCCATGATAGTTGTTTCGTCTACGTGCCAAGGCTACCGACTCCGGATGTCGATGGCTTCGTGCTGGTTGGGCTCGGTCAGTAGCCACAGGCACCCTAGAAATATCGACTCGTCAGTGGATTCCCTTGCCTAGGTAATGCTGCAGGATCCCATGATGCCTTACCATGGAAGCGGACGCGATCAGGTGACGGAAGTCGTTGGTCTGATGTTGGGAGCAAGCGTACACCAAAGGAACAAGTACCACGGGCGAACAACGGACGATTTTGGAGCAACGGAATTGAGAGGTCTTGTCAACAAACGCCAATGGTTGGAAATTGAGTGTACAATGGTGGAAGATGAGAAAAGGGAAGAAGGATGGTGTCGAGGTTGGAATGGGATATGATGATGAACGTGAACTCAAAGGGGATGATGTGGGAGGTGAGGGGGGGTTGCCCAGCACGGCCCATGCCCAGTAACTCGCCCAGTGACATCGGTTCTGCAACTGGAGGGTGACACCTGACGTTGGGTGGTTGACATACAATGGGGGCCCGGCAGTAGAGAACCCCCTTCGAGTGCTGTTCCCCCCCTTCCAGTCCAGAACGCTCCATGTCGCAAGATCAGGACATGATAGCGATGTGCCACAATACAACAACACGCCGTTCTGAGTGGTTGGGCTTGGATTCCCGCAGCAAACTAGGTGGTTGAGTATCAGCAGCTAGGAAGCTCAGAGGTCAAGATTGGCTGGGTGGCTGTGCCCGGAGCTCCACCAGTGCATTTTTAGCGCCTTGAGTCGTGCACGGATCAAGCGGGGTAGGGTCGCGCTTGGATACCAAGCGCCACCCTAGACCGACCCTTGGTCGCGATAAGCGGTGGGGCGCATGACATGGGAGCAGTGGATGTTGTTTGCTTGCTGAAACATGGGTCGTCTCCAGTGCTATCGTTTGACGTCTGTGACTGAGTGACACGGAAAGAAAGGTTACTTCATGTATAATTCGAACCAATCGATATAATCAGGCAAGCGTCTGCACTGCCTGCGGGCGCTTGAAATCGCTATCACGCATGGCTTGGACCTGTTGTGAGCGCGATTAGGTAGTCCCGGCCTCGATCCTACAGCCTGCGGAGGCCCTAGCCCGTTGTTGCCACCAGGCGCTTTGTAGCTTTCTGCGCCCTCATGGCAGGAATGGTATTGTTTCTTCCCGGCTTCCTACCCACCTCGACGCAGAGCATACGTATGAAATCTCGGCTGAGCCAGTAGCTCGAATGCGCGCTCAACATGTTCAGATATTGAATCTCGAGCGGACCACCACCCGAGCGTAGGAAAAAGTCAACCTGGCCGTTGTCGTTGAGCAGATACGCCTTTCTTTCGGCAATCTCCTCCCGCGAAAAGTCATGCACCTCCAGCTCCAATTGGGAGGGTAGCCGCGCCATCGAAGGTTTGGGAGCTTCGCCACGGGTAGCATCTGCAGCCGGAGCTGGGGCCGTTCCCGGGATGATGCTGCGCATGGTGTCTCCGACGTACTTGAGTAGAGACGTCGCGGTGCTGGGGACATATGCAGTCTTCAGGCTCGCCGCGTAAACTGGATCGATTGTGCCGTTGAGCAAGTACGCGATTGGGTCTTCTCTGGCCAGAATGTTGTAAACGTTGTCGACGGCCATACAGCCAAAAGAACCGGCCTCGCTGGTTACATCTTGATCGTCCACGTCACTAGGCTCGGCCTCTGGCTTCGACCTGCCACGTCGAGGAACGAGCATACCTCTTTCCAGCAGCATGAAGAACCCCGCAGGGCTACCGACCAGGAAGAGATTGACAGTGTCAAATTCGAACACGTCAGCTCTGGGTGAGGGCAAGGACAGATCCAGCGAAGGTACTCGATTCGGTTGCCTCGATAGGATATCAACGGCCATAGCACTGCCAAGGGAGTGGCCAATGAGATGAACGCGTCCATTGTCGTGAAATCCCGGATTGTTACGGCACCACAATCGGTATACCCTGTTGGCTTCCTTGACTAAAGCCTCAATCATTTGGCCCTTGTGGTGAGACATGTAGAAAGGAATGTCGAACATGATATCGGATATCATGCTTCGTACTGCCGGGATTGTTTTAGGCTCAATATCTTTGAGCCCAAAGCGGTCAAGGCCCCGTGCAACCTCGTCTTCACCGTCCTGCGCAGGCCCTCCATTTTCCAATGTCAGAGTGTGGCGCCAGTTGACGGGAAGAACCATGATACCATTTTGGGCTTCTCGAAGGCTGCCATTTAGAGCTGGGTTGCTAAGCTCCATGTTGACCTCTCTGCGGAAAGCGTTGATAGCATGCGTGAAGTGAAAACTCTCCACTCGTTCAGCGAACTTCTGTCCGATGCCGTGGCAGACAAGTATCAAGTCCGTGACCTGACCACGGTCTGCCTGTGCTTTGCAGGCAGGACAAATCTCAATTCTTGCGCCCGTAGAAGAGGAGGAGGCACCATCAGTGCCAGCACTGTTCTCTGCGTGCTTCTTATTCTGGATCCTGTCCCATGCATCCTGGTCAAAGCCACGCACTACGGGAATGCCGATGGTTGTCCCTCTCATGATCTTGGCAACAGGCCTTCTCCCATAATAAGCTGAAGGTTTGAGACTTGGCTTGAGAAGGAATGCGTTCGAGGCATCCTTATAAATGACATGATAGCTCGCAAAGCTTCTCGACGGTTGCTCAGCACTCTGAACGCCAGGTTCAGGGGCGATAGACCCTTGCGCTGCCGCCTCTCCTCTGAAACAATGAGCAGAGCAAAAGGGGTCCGTCGATATGACAGGCTCGTCTGCGGCGAGATCATCGTCGGAACGTTGCCTGTCATTAGGCCACAACGGGTGCGAGACTTTTTCTTCGCCAAGCGGCCCAACATCGATGGCACAGCGAAGCTCGTCGCTCCACGTCTCGGTATGCGGCCTCAGCTCTCTGTAGCCAGCTTCTACTTGATTGGCCACGGTAGGAGGCAAAGGATTCATTGTGTCTCTTCAATGTACGTTAGATGGTGTGTTATGTCGGGTCATACGCACGGCTTTTGAGCCTAGCGCGAAACATCCTGGAGTTTGCAAACAGACCTGTAGAACCACGTGCCCCGAAGAACAACAGCAATGTCATTGACGGGGGACCAGTAGATTGGTTTCATTTGAAGAGATGGCAGGGAAACTTTGTGTAAACGCGAGATGCCGACGGGCACCTCCAACGCGCGTCTACTAACTTGCGGATCAGCATCGTCAATGTCCAGAGTATGAGGATCCTCCAATTTTTCACGCGATCTGTTGGCGCCGCGCTCTGGGTCAGGAATAAGAGCATCTCTGGTAACGGTGCCTTCATTCTGATCTTCTCGTCCTCCAAACGCACTGGCCATAGACTCAGGCGTAGACCCATAGCTCTCAACACGAGCAAATGGTGTTCCGGATATGCCATCGTCCATGGCAACTCGGGAAAAAGCAGCGTCGGCGAGTGGTTGGAGGCGTTGATTTTCCTGATTTGCACGTAAGCTTGTTCTGAAACGCAGAAAACCGCCCTTTGTGAGTTCCTCGCCAACTGGAGGGCTGCCGGGAGACAAGCGGGCAGATCGTGTCGAGTCGGCTCGTTTCCGAGATGCTGACGATGTCGGCTGCTGCTTGTCTATGTTGCCGTCACCGGCCTCTAGGTCTAACAACGTGCGTTTCAGTTCCAGCATAACCTTTTGAATAACGTTATCCGCAATCAGGGACGATTGACGCATTCTGACAAGAGCGCAGAAGGTATTTTGGAGATCGGTGGACACGTCAAGGTACAGCTCTGAACAGCAGAGAGAGGCCGCAGTTGTGGACTCAACCATTGGCTGTGATGTCGATATCGACTGGCTTGTAACACTTCCGACATGTTTTTTGAGATGCTTGCGCGCCAAACGCTGGACGAGTGATGCTAATTTTCTGTCGTTCGCCTTTTCGAGCATAGGACCCAGGGAAGTGCTATCCCTTGCCTTGCGGTGCGCCTCATCATCTTGATCGGAAGCTAGCGATAGCCATGCCTTTTCGAGTGCAATGTTGTCGCCTTGGGAGAACGGGCGCAATCGACTTTTGGCAGACTTCGCATCGGAAGCGTAGGCAAGAGTGCCAGGGGAGAGGGGATCGTCGATCGGTATCAACGACGTATAGAAATACTGCGCGTTGACCCGAGGTGTATCATCGGAGGCGTTGTCTGACGATTCATAGGTTATCGGAGCCAGCCTACAATTTTGCTGGTACGTGTGTCCCACAGCTGACATGGTGCCGGGGGATGTGATCGTCTGCTCGAGCAAGACCGCTCGTGTGCACGAGTACTATGGGCTTGTGGTCAGCTTGAAATTGCGCGATATGTAGCTCCTTGTAGGAGTCTAGGCATCACTCGTGACGTTCGTTGAAGTAGCGAGTATTCTCGTGGAAAGTCTTGTTGGCACCCATGCGCGGCCTGGTAGCACGAGAACTGAATGGTATGGAGGGAGGTTGCAAATTCAGAACACGAGGTGTTGGGTCCCCAGCTACGAGGAGTCAGGCACGCTGGGTATGGGCGACGATGCATGAAGGAGTTCAAAGCAGATTTCAGCTTGACGTGGAATGTTGGACATGCCATTTGTTAGGTAGGTACATAGGCAGGTAGGATGATTAGAATGACGTCTTGTGAGAGCTTTGACCAGGGTGAGGTAGCTTGGTACGTACGTACCCAAGGTACCTTACCTTAGGATTAGTGGACCTTCCCCAGCCCCCAGCCCAGGCACCTACTAGGTAGGTAAGGGATTGAGTGCATGTGATTGTCGCCAAGGCTTCAAGAACAATGTACAATCATCTTCTTCCATTGAATTTCTTTCCATTTAGATACAGGGTTACCAGTTCCAACAATCAATTACTACATCACAGTAGGCTAGCTTCTATGCAGAGTCCAAAATAGATAGAATGCAAGGTCTTTTCGCGTCAGGCAACAGCAGATCGTATCTAGAATCCGTC